AGGGCACCCTGCAAGGACCAGGAGCAAACGGGGCATGGCCCCGCCCCGGGGAAGCCCCTCAGTCTAACTGGCCAAGAAGTGGATGAAGGCAACCTTGAGAACACATGCTGTAGTAAATGAACAGGTGTGGAGGGAGAACCAGGCTTGCCTTGAGGATGGGCAGAGAACAGAAAAGGGGTTTGGTGTGGGGACTGAGGTGGCTTTGGAAGAGGGGGTGCTGTGTCAAGCTATTGCACGAGTGGAAGAGCAGGAACCTGGCCCAGCAGGTCAGGGTTGAGAGTGGCCATGGACGTTCAGGGCCCCCAGGACCAGAGGGCTGTCCTGTTGGCAGGCTGTCGGGCAGAAGGGGCTCCTCAACCAGCAGTGAGGCCTCTGCTCCTCCATCCCAGTCTCCCCAGCCCTGGGCAAGGGGTGGAATCAATGACTGTGAGTCTGATGGGGGTCCTGGGGCTGGTGGTTCTTGGTTTGTCAACCAGCTCCTTCCCCAGAGGCCCTGAAGCAAATGAGTATCCAGAGCACACCCCGACCCCCACCGTACCCCCAGGCGGGCGCTCTGCCCTGGAAAGGGCCCTCCATCACCTCAAGGCTGGGGGGGGACTGCCTGGCTAGCCCCCTGTGCCTGACTCCCCAATTCTGCTTCTCCAGTAGGGTCCTTACTGTTCTCCGAGGGGGGGGCCGGGAGAGGAGGAGCCGGCGATGTGCACCAGCCGTCAAAAGGTCAGTGACCCCACGGTCCCCAGAGAGCCCAGCCCTTACCACCCCCGCAGGCCAACTTCATTCCTGGAGGGCAGCAGAGTTAACAGAGGCCTCGCCCCTTCTACTGGCTCTGAGGTCCATCCTACACCCGCAGTACCTGCCCTGGCGTGAAGGGCCACAGAGCTTCGTCTCTGTCCCAAAGCCCCGTTGTCCTGATGACCTGTTTCTAGAACACAGATGTCTTCTTGTGGCAGTTGTTTAGGCCAAAGAGCAGGGATGCCTTGAGAGTACCTGTTTCCCTGGGAGAGTGGCTAGGCAGCAGGTTCGACACCCCATTTAACCGTCAAATTCTGACGGCACGCTCAGTGTCAGCCCAGGGGGATTCTGGTGGGGATATTGGCATTTTTAATAGGTATGTAACGTAGGTGTCACTTCAATGAGCCTTCACACCCCCCAGGTGGAAGGGCTTGTGGCCCTTGGTTTACAGATGAGGAAACTGACCTCACCAATGCCCCTGAGGCCAGCCTGGGGCCCTTTATCCTGTCTCAGGGCTGTAGGTTTCAAGCTCCCTATTTTTCCTGCACAAAGGCTATCTCCTAAGAGAATCTCTTCCCTAAGAAGTTTGCAGGGGAGGGAAGCAACCCTCAAGGAGCTCCAGTGGGTGCCAAGCCCTACGGCTATCTTTTTTTTTTTTTCCTACGGCTATCAAGTCCTGTTCTTTAGGACGTGCTGTTCTGTTGGCCTGGATTTCTGCCATCTCTGCCCTCTTCCCCAGCCATTTGGTATCTCTTGCAGCTGACTCTCAAAAAAGCAGCTAGGCCACCCGCACTGGAAGTCTCCCCCAAGTTCCCTCGGCAAACCCCAGACTCTGCGTGGCGTTCCCTTTGTCTGCACATTCATTATATCACTCGCCACATGGCATCGTAACTGTCACTTTACCTGGTTGCCTCCCCCTCTCAACCGAGCTCCCTGAGGACAGTGATTGGGTGTTTTCGTTCATATACCCCTGGTGCTTTCCACGGCTCCTGGCACATATGTAGGCGGGTGCTCAGCAGATTTATTTTAAATGGGTGAATGGGCTCTGTTCTCAAGGGGCTCATTGACGTTCTAACAAATAACTACAATACAGTGTTGGTACATGCAAAGTATGGGCAAAGTGCAGACTTTGTGTAGAGGAGTTAATTTATTCATTGATGGAGAGAAAGGCAGCACATACACACATAGAATGTTACATCCCAGTAACACGAGTCGTTTATTTGTGGAATGGTTTACAGTTTAGGAAGCTTCACCCCAGCCAGTCTCTTTCTAGATTCCCACAGCAACCTGGGAGGTAGGCAGACGATCAGCTCCTTTGTCCTGAGGCGGAAGCTGGGCCTTAGAGATGCTGCCTCTTGGCCAAGGTCACAAAGCTGGTGCAAGAGCCAGCATTAGTGTCCAGGTCTTCTTTTTCACATCATACTTCCTCTCAAGGGAGCAGTACAAGATGTTACTAGGCAGTAAGTGCCAAATGAGCAGAACAGACAGCTGTAGTGCTTGAGAGCAGGGAGGGGCGAAGGGGGCTGGAGACCTTCCCAGAGGAGGGCTTTGAGCAGGGCCTGAAAAGGGGGTGGCTGCTCTGCCCCATGGCCTTTAGAGGGCCAGGACCACAACAACTGGTCTCTAGCCACATCCAGCTTGACTGGGCACACTGGTGGAGCTCCACTTCCCCTACCCTGGGAGACAAACGAGTGTCAGCAGTGACCGCTTCTCTGTGCCAGGGACGGTTAGGAGCCGTACTGTTCAGGTGCTGCTGGGAGTTGTAGTTCCGGGGCGTCCACATGGTGGGATGGGCGCGAGCGCCCCCTGCTGTTTCAGGTCCCGCTCCTTTCAGATCTCCTTCGTGCTCTTGGGGGTTCAGTGGGCAGGGTGACCCCCACATCCTTACCTGACAGACCGCCCCCTCATCCCCACCAATCCCAAGAGGTCCTGCTGCTTCCTCCCCACTCCAGGGCGGTCTCTGTCCTTCCCACCGTTCTTGTGTTTTCTGGTTCACATTTACTCCTTCTTCTCCGTCGCTGTCCTCCAGTTCTTCCAGGTTTCCTCTGGCTGCTCCAAGCTTCTTCCCATCCCTGGCCTGCTAGGTCTCTGGCAGTGGCAGGCAGTGGAGGACAGGTTTACTCTGGATCCTCTCCCAGGAGACCGGAGCAGAGCCCGGAAGAGTCGAGGAATGGCCTCGTTTCTCCACTTTGCCTTGGCAGCCGGGGTCCAGCTCTAGGCCCGCCTCTCTCCTTTTCACCAGGCTCTTTTGTTCTGTTCCAATCACTTTTCCACGTGGTTGCCTTATTCTTTCCTTTCTTTCTGTTTGACTCTCTTTTTAATATTTTCTTTGACTGCAGTGAAGGTGAGGGAGTGGCAGGGGAGGCCAGGCTTTCAGGAGAGACTAGGACGTGGAGCAAACTCAAGGTCAAACATGTTCCCTGTTCTGGTCCTTGAGCCCCCCGGCTCTGCCCGGGCCTGGGCAGCAGGCCTGGTTGCTATGGAAACAGCAAGGCCTTGGCTTCCTTTCCCTAGAGGTCTCTGTCCCCCTTTCCTTGCTGGCCCTCTTCTTCCGTCACCCTCACCTGTCCCCTCCCAGTTAGTGCTTGTCTTTATCCAGATTGCTTCCCTGTCACCTCTTGCTCCCAACTCGGCGCTGTCGCCACACCGCTTCTGTCCCCCATGGTCCATCTTTCTCCTTCTCTACATGGCCTGCCTCCACATCGCCATTCTTCCTTACTTTTCCCTCCTTGTCTCTCCTTGACTCCTCCTCTTTGTTTTCTGGTCCTCTCTGCTGGAGCCCTCAGGTGGGCAGAGTGGGGCTTCTGGCTGTCCCGATGTGGCCCGTGCCCCACCAGCCTCGCTGCCCCACAGCCTCAGGAAACCGGGCCTCGCCAGCTGCAGCGAGTGCCGTGCCAGGCTCTGGGGCAGCAGCTGGTGCCTTGGCATCCGGAGGCAGTGAGGACTGAGTCTGCGGGCAGCCTGCCCAGAGGGAGAGCAGGGCTGTTGTGCAGGGGAGGGACATCTGCAGGAGGCACACCCGGAGAGCCCTGGCTTCCACATGCCGTGCTGATGATGGGGACTGGCATACTGTGGGCAGGTGCCTTCTGAGGGCCGAATGCTCTGCTTCTTTCTGGGCCTGGGGGCCTGTACTGAGAACCTCCGCCCTCCATGAAGGCCCTCAGCTGGCTGTCTTGTTCACCCTCCCTTCGAGATGGGTGGGCCCAGCTGGGAGGAGAAGCAAGTCGCTGTCAGAGTCCAGGTCCTCTGTGCTCCCTTGACTTCATGGCCCATTTTCTTCCCTTGATGGATGTGGGCTCTGGCTTGTGAAGGTGTAGGGTTGGGACTCCACCTTCCCTCCACTAAGCTGTAGTCACCCATTTGTAGAATGCTAAATGCCCCTAAGACCCTTCCAATTGTTTTCACTTCTGTTTAAAGAGTGCCAGTGAAAGGAGCCTTGTGCTGGGTGTACACACACACACACACACACACACACATGAGCCAGGTCTGCCCCTGTATCTTGCCTCCAGCCATCTCCCGGCACACAGGGTCCCTACACCTGCCCTCTGGCCACCCTTGGAGGCTCTCCATCTAGGACCTGTCAGCACTGTCCTCTCAGGTTGGACTAGGAAGTTGGCGGGGATGGTGACAGCCATCACAGTGGCCTCCTGTGTAAGCCCTGCCCCTGCTCCCTGGCACATCTGTCACCTGCATCGCCCTCCTGTGTGTCTTCCCACTGCCTCCCCCACCCCATTCTCTCCATTTGCTCAGTGCTATGAAGCAGGCTACTAGTCCCATCCCAGGTGGTCAGGCTTGAGACTGTTCCCAGGCAGTGAGAATGGCCATCACCGGAAAAGAGACAGGAGGGGGAGGTGGGCTGCTCTCAGGAGACCCTTGGTGCCCCGCCATAGGGGGACACTCTAGGAAGACTTCAGGTGCAGCCTCTTGTTTCTCTTCTGCATCCTTCTGTTAAGGGGAGTGGCTGGGGGAGGGCTGGTGGGGGAGGAGACGGTGAGACTGCCTGCTTCTGTCTGCTTCGCCTGGCCCTGTGGCAGCTTAATTGTCAGCTGTCAGTGTGAGAGCCACTTAGCAGCCTCCTGCCTTGGAGATAGGCGTGGAGGAAGCTGCTTCTGACAGCAAAGACGGCGGGGTCCAGAGAGGAGAGGGCCAGCGGGGGGAGGGGAGAGAGCCTACTGTTTGCAGTTGGGATCGAGAGGCTCCAGGTGCCCCGGGCCTATGCCCGGTGGCTGGAGGGGAAGAGGGAGGTCTGGAGTGCCCACGCCGCTCAGCCCTCTTCCATTTCCCCACGGTGGCGTCCAGGCAAGGAAGAGTTTGTGGCGACCTTCAAAGGCAATGAGTTCTTCTGCTATGACCTGTCACACAACCCGATCCAGAGCAGCACGGACGAGATTACGCTGGCCTTCCGCACCCTGCAGCGCAATGGGCTGATGCTGCACACGGGCAAGTCGGCCGACTACGTCAACCTGTCCCTCAAATCCGGGGCGGTCTGGCTCGTCATCAACCTGGGCTCAGGAGCCTTTGAAGCCCTGGTGGAACCCGTCAATGGCAAGTTCAACGACAACGCCTGGCACGATGTCCGGGTCACTCGAAACCTGCGCCAGGTAGGGGGAGCAGGAAGACGGCCAGGGGCCAGCGGCGTCTGGGGCAGAATGGGAGTGGGGAGTGAGGCCACCAGGATGTGGGGCCAGGCATCAGGCCGGGTGGCAGGGTGTGGTTCTGAAGGATGTTTAGGTTTTGGGTCGGCTGACAGGGTCCAGGAGTGTGCCCGAAGTGGGCAGGCTGCAAGGACCAGGATCCAGGCTAGGGAGGAGGCTGCGGAGCTGTCCAGGACCAGAGCCTGGGGGAAGAGGAAGGGCTGGGCTAGGGTTGGTGCTGGTGACTCGGGTTTCAAGGGCTGGGGCTGAAAAATCAGCAAACTGGCAGCAGGGTGATTCAGGACATGGAGGAGTGAGACAGAACCTGAATAATGGGCCCTGGAGGTGCTCTGGGATGGGGAGACTCTGGCCGGACCCTGGAGGGGCAGGTTTCCAGTTAGGGCAGAAAGTCTAGGACACATGGGTTGGGGTGTGGCCTGCCCTTAGGCGGGGCCTTTGGAGCTGGGCTCAGAGCAGGTTCGGGGCAGTAGGTGTGAGCAGGGAACCAGCTGGAGAGGTGCTTGTTCCTGCCTCTCCTCTGGCAGCACCCTGATTCTCTCCTGTCCCGTCCTGTTCCTCCAAAGGGGTACATGCTCTCCCAGGGGTTCTTGACTGTCTTGTGGTGGCTTCTAGGCCTGCCCTTGCAGGAGCTCAGGACACTCTTGGGGCGGCCCCTGCAGTCAGGACAGGGCTCTTCACCTCAGCGTCCCCAGACGCCCCCCACCCTGGAGGAGTGCTGATGCTTCTGGGGATCAACTCTATCCTCAGTAGCTCTTACATCTCACAAGGTGCAGGGAGGCTGTGGCAGGCAAAGCACTCTCTCTGGCCAGGCTCCTGCTTGATAGCAGCCCCCACAGCTTGTTTCCAGCCCTGAGAAGCTCCCGCCTCAAGTGTGGTCCAAACCAGAGCCTTTTTCGAAAGCAGATGAGGCTGCTGTGTATCCTTAATTGCTCTCGTCTCCACCTCCGGACTCCTTGCCCCACTCACTGGGTGCCTGGGGCCCGGGTGCCAGGCTCCTGCTGGTCCCTTTCTCTGGGTCCACGGCTTTCTCTTGTGGCTGGTGGCAGGGATGCTTTCCCAGCTCCACTCCGCAGGCTAAGTGCAACCAGGACTGTGGAGCCCCTGAGCCCTGGGAGGCACCATCTGGGCTGGTTTGGAGCTCTGCTCTTACCCGGTACCTTCTGTGTTTCCTGGTTCTGGCTGAACTTCTTGGTGGATGAACTTCTGTTGTCTCTCCTCTTCACCATTGTTGGCAACTTCCTTCTCCTCCTCTCCTTCCTCCCACTGAAGGCTCCTGGAGGATGGGGGCCATCACTCACTCTGTTCTTACCTGCTCCTCTTCAACCCACTGAGTCATGACCTAATGGGGCATCCCCCTCAACGGTGACTTCCTCTTGCTGTTGGGACACCGTGACTAACAACCTGCACTTTCGGAGCCACTGCTCCCTGCTGTAGTCGGGCTCCCACCAGGCACCTGTTCTCAGTGCTCCCCAAGCTCTGAAGAGCGGCAGCATCCCCTGACCTGGCTGGAGGGCTGTCCTGTGTTGTCACCATTTACTGCAGGGCTGGGCAGAGTTGCCTTCTTGCTGCTGTTCCTTCCCCAGGACCGGTGCTGTCACCTGGTGCTGCCTTTGGCAACACGCTGCGAGCCCGGAGTCCTCATCCATGTGTCCTCTGGCCAACACGTTGTCCATCTATACAGGGTGTGTGCTCAGTCGCGCAGTCATGTCTGACTCTTCTGTGGCCCCATGGACTGCAGCCCGCCTGAGTCTTCTATCCATGGGATTTTCCAGGCAAGAATATTGGAGTGGGTTGCCATTTCCTTCTGCAGGAGATCTTCCTGACCCAGGGATTGAACCCCAGTCTCTATGTCTCCTGCACTGGCAGGAGATTCTTTAGCACTGTGCCACCTGGGAAGTCCTATACAGGGTACTGAGGGGAAAAAACCATGGTCCCACCCTCCCAGCCCTTTGGCTCTCAAGGAGACAGGATGAGTCTGCTAAAAGTGACCAGAGCAAATCCACACAAGCGCCAGCTAAGTGGCAGGAATCTTAAATGTTTTAGGAACTCTAGAGACACAGACAAGTGGGAGAGGTTGTGACCAGGGAAGGTGGGAAATCCACCCAGAAGTGGTGAGGCCTGGCCTCCATAGCACCAGGATGGACAGTGACTCACAGTAGCCTCCTTCGGGTGCTCACAGAGTTCTGGGTCTGAGCTGGGGACCTATGCAGACCACTTCCCCTGGCTGGCTCTACCAGATGGCTCAGAACAGAGTCAGGTCATATTGACCCAAACAGAAGCCTTTGGGGATCAGTGGGTATCTGCTTCAAGACTTTGATTGAGAGGTCTTTTTAGAAAGGGTTTCTGGAGAGATGTATTTGACTCAAGTTTGCATCCTTAAGTGTGAGCTGCAACCCTTTTTGGGTCATTGTGACCATCAGGGCGATGGCTGTGTTCTGGATTCATTGCCAAGTCCATCCTCCCCAGGCCTTTTGAGGGCCTGGTTCTCAGTTGAGGGAGGGGGTGCCCCCAGGAGGTTCTGGAAATGTCTGGAAGCATTTTGGGTGTCACATCTTGGGGAGGGTGCTACTGGGTAGAGGCCAAGATAGTGTTAACATCTCCCAATGCACAGGACAGCCCCACAGCAAAGAATGACCTGGCCCCAAATGTTGGAAGTGTTGAGGAGAAGAAATGGTGCAGAGACAAGGGCCTCGTGGCATCCTGGGATTGGAAAGATCCTTTTGTGATTTGAGGGGTAACGTAGGGTCAGGAGTGGCCAGGAGCAAGGACAGGAGTAACGTGAGAAATGACATCTGCCCCAGCCTCTGGGAGGGCACTGGGGTCCACATAGTTTTCCCCAAGTGATTAGAATGATGTGGGGACCACCACCTGGGGAGAGCCTGGCCCAGAACTTACATGGAGGGGCTCTCCCTTCCTCCTCTTGGTTCATCAGCTTTGGGTGTTGGTGAAGAGGCCGGCTCCTACGACTGGAAGAAGGCAGAATTTCTCCCCACCTCCCCTGAACCAGATAGTGACCCCTGGAATCATCTAGCACCTCTTAGAACAGTCAGGGCCAGAGGGAGCCTGACTGAGACCACACCCTGCCTTTGCTCTGCTTTCCCCCTGCATCCAGGCTTGACGACTCTATGCCCAGTGGTGTCTCCTGGGTGATCTTGCCGAGAATGATTCCATCTGAGGATTCCCTGGGGCCTCTTTTTTTTGGTTACGCTGGGTCTCTGCCAGCTTCTCTAGCTGTGTAGGGCCAGTTCTAGAGTGTGTGGTACTCAGGCTTAGCTGCAGCGTGTGGGGTCTAGTTCCCTGACCAAGGATCAAACCTGGGCCCCTTGCATTGGGAGCGTGGCCTGTTATCCACTGGACCACCAGGGAAGTCCCTGAGGCCTATTTTTAATCTTGGGCACACTCTCCTCACACACTGGTGTGCCTCCCCCACCACACATGCCAAGTGCCAATCCATTTCATCTCTGGCCAGCTAACCAGCACCAGCTCTGGAGACAAGCTGGCCCTTGAAGTATCATGTGGAGCTTCCTCCCACCCAGCTCTGGGCCATGCCTCGTATGGAGGCCCCCTGGACCCCAAGGAGGGAGTCCTCCAAGGATGGGGTCTGGCAGGCACTTGGGACTCCCTCCCCTGCCTACGGCTTGGCCTCCGGGTCTCTCAGCCTGTCACACACCCTGCCTCAGGGCCTAACTGTGCTGCTGGGCACGCCCCGTCTACACCGGCTTCCTGAGTTCCCCCTTCGTTCCCATAGTGCTCCCTGAGGACACCGCCATTCACCCTCCTTTCCGCCAGGTGAAACCCTAGAACTGGGGTTTGAGTTGGACTGACCAGGTTCAAGTCACTGAGTGACTTGAAGCAAGTTATCTAACTTGTGTGAGGTGAGAGGGACCTTTGAGGAGTGACTGAGGTGACGCCCTGGGCTTGGCACACGTGAACATCGTGGGCTCGCTGCCGCCTTTACCATTAGTTGTGGGGTTTCCAGTCCATCTCACCAGCTTTATAAGGCTTTTCTTGAGCCGCCTCCACTGCCATTCCCTGCCCCGGCCCGGTCAGTCTCCCTTTTTGCTGTATTCTGGCCCTGTCACCACACTCCTATCTGTGGGGTTAATTTGTGTTCATCTCTTTTCTCTATTTCTAGGTGGTGAGCTCCTTGAATGCTCTTTTTTGTCTGCGTCGGGTCTTAGTTGCGGTGCACGGACTCTAGTTGTGGCGTGTGGTCCCAGGAGTTGCCGCGCAGGCTTAGTTGCTCCTGGGCATGTGGGATCCCAGTTCCCTGACCAGCGATCCAGCCTGTGTCCCCTGCACTGGAAGGCAGATTCTTAACCACTGGGCCACCAGGGAGGTTCCCCTTGAGGGCTTCATACCAGAAACTGAGTGTTTTTATTTGTTTTTCTGGTGTTTTTGCTGGTTCCTTTGGGCTCTTCCTTGAAGCCAGTTGGTGAGGTTTTGGACAGATTAGCAGATCTAATTATTTCATGTGAGCCCGGAACTACTGTTGTCCTCTGGGAAAAACTCCTTCCCTTATGCTCCCGCCCTCTCTTTGGAGTTTCATCAGGACCTGTTCCTTTCTTACAGCACTGCTCAGATCGCACCCTCACATCTCTCCTTCATAGGCGCCCAAGTTCAAGGGTCTCGTTTCTTTTTTGTATCTCATCTAACTTTTCTAACAATCCTGTGAAGTGGGAGATACTTCCATTCACCAACGAGGAAAAAGCAAGTTGAAGAGCTGGCCCAAGGCTATTCTGTGGGAGTGGGAGGGTGAGAGTCTGTCTGACTTCATTCTTCTGCCTCCCCAGAGGGCCTGGCTGTTGTCCTTGGTGTGCAATGCTAAAGGGCCTGTCACTTGCCTTTTGGTCCTGCCATTCTTGGGTGTTCCCATTTCTTGAACCATTTCAGTGTTCTGCTGTCTCTTGAAAAAGTGGGCCCATCTTATCCGAGTCCTCTTTTCTTTGTCCCGAGTTTTTCTTGCTCCATAGAGATTACCTTCATCCAGATTGTTGTGATTTGTGTGTATAAACCCCTTCTTGGCTTTCTTGAGGGGCTGGAGCTACGCCGAGACTTCAAGGTAGAGACGGGGCAAGGTTTTGTCCAAAGGCCCTTGGTCGTGGTAAGTTACACTTGCTGTAATCACTGACCTCTTTCCTCTGTGATTGATGTCCTCCTCCCTCATCACGCGTGGTCCTCCATGTGCTCCTGTCCTCCAGGGGCCCTCTAGCTGCTTCTGTGGCTAGGGCAAAGCCTTCCTTGCCCAGTTGTTAGTCTGAAGCCCCAGCTCTCCAGATCCCAGCATTTGGAAAGGTGTGGGCTGCTGCATCATGGGCACAAGCTGGGTTCCGGTGGAGCCTCCACTCTAGTGTCTGGCCACAGTTGCCTGCTCGGGCATGACCACCGAGTTCTGGATCTGTACTCTCTAGATCTAGAGGGGTCCTGTCTCATCCACTGCAGTGTCGCTGTTTATCAGAGGAAGCCTGGATCTCTTGACACATCAGTGGGAAGCCCAGGCTTTGAACGCACAGCTCTTCCCTCTCAGTCTTGTTTCTTAATTCACTCTTGTATTTGTTAAAAATGAAGTTGTCCATGAAAGTTGAAAACTGGTTTTTCCTTATTTTAGTTTCTACAGCCAGTTCTAACTTCAAAAGAGGAGTAGTTGGACTTTTACCTGCAATGCCTCTTTTTCCCTTGTCTTGTTTGACTAGTGCAGTGGTATCAGCAAACTTGCACCTTTTTGGTGCCATGCGTTTAGGTGTCATGAAGCTAATGTTTCCTTGCCCCGAGTAGTTGGCCTGTTCACTTCCCAACAGTCCTACTGGCCCATAGGGCCAGTCTTTGTACCATGTGCCATTAGACTTTTTGTCTTCCTGCTAGGTAAACGGCTTCTGCATCACTAATAATTAATATTGGTCACTCAGCACTTCTAGCTGCTAAATATTGAATTCTGTTATTTTTAATTATACAAGGCCCTTATTAATTGTCTTACTGAATTAGTCCTGTGCCCACTGGTTATAACAGCTCTCTGACTAATGGGTCTGTCCCCAGAAGACCTTTCCTTCTCACAGTCACACTCTTGGGCTTGCAGTTTAGTATTTGATGGATATCAAACAGTAGTGTCCCAACATCTCTGTCACAAAGGGAAATTTCCCTCCTCAAAGGGAAATTTTGAAGGCGGTTCTTGCTGCCGTCTTTGACCATGAGGAGAGGAAATGAACATAGAGCTACATGTGGGTGGGGCTTCTAGTCTGGGGTAAAAGAAACTGGCTTCTAGTTTAGAGAGGAGTGAGGGATTTTAGAGGGAGGTGGGTCTTTGTGTTCCTTCTTATGTTGTGGTATGTGGGGGGAGTGGATTTCTGGTGCTGGCTGTGGGGAGTGGATGCTTGGGGGTCTGTGGGTGTGGGGAAGGAGGGTGGGCTGCTGGGAAAGCCTGACTGCACAGAGTTGCATGAATGATGGTGGAGGGTGGGGGGAGTACTTCATTGTGGGAGAAACAGCTGCCCAAAGGGGCATAAGAAAATAGGGTGGAATGATTGAAGAACCAAGGAAAATTTGGGGGCAATGTGGGCTCTGAAAAGGCAAATTAGGATTAATTTAGGAGCTCTGGGTGGGAGAGTAGGTGAGGGGAGGAGGGTTTGGGATGAGGCATGATGTGAGAGTGAGCCCTCTGCCAGCCCATGGAGGGCAAAGTTTCCTTTTCCCTATTCTGGTGGTGACTTGCTCTCTCTTCCTTTCTGAAGGAAGAGAAACAGGAAAAAAATATAAAGAGCTGCCCTTCCCTGTACCATGACTCCCTGGGTCTATTTGCTATCTTCCATCCCCAGGAAAAGCAGACACCCATATTTCCTCCTTTATTCCTTGGCAACCCCTTCCCTTTTGCTCCAAGTGAAATTGCCTCTCATTTAAGCCAGTCCTGGGATTCTCTGGGGGCCTTGACCATTCTTCTCCCAGTCTGACAGCCAACTGGCCCATCACCAACCAGTTAACCCATTAACTCAACATGGTCACTGGTCAGCCAGTTGGCCAATACCAGCTTGCTCTTTAGGCAGTTCTCTGGAAAGCCATCTGGTCGACCAGTTAGCCAACAAACCCCTGCGTTCATTACCTGAGTCAATAGCCCATGCCTTTCTCACACCCCTATTCCCCTTCCTGCCTTCCCCTCAACTCCCTAACATTTCAGCCCATAGGACTTACTAATACTGCATAATTGGGTCTGCTTCTTAACCCCCTGCCTTCCCTCTCTCACCCTCTGTTGGAAAACCCTTTTGCCAACTCTGTGTGTGTTACTAACACGCTTATAACCCTGGGGGGACCAAGGGATGGGCAGGGACAGGTGGGGCAAAGTATGAGTGAAAAACCGAACTAACCTTTCTGTCTCATCTGCGGAATGTCACCATCTTTAAGTCTTTGCTTTCTTGGTCTAGTTCTTTTGTTGTTTCCTTCTCTACTAACCAAGGTCTTTAACTGTTCCCCTTCTCTGCAGCCAGCTCTTCCGGGAGGGGATCGGGGGAGAGGACTCCAGGGGTGGGGTGGGGGGGGATCGGGAGAAGGGATTTAATTTATGTGTGTGTTTTATTTCTCCCTCCCATTATAATTTAATTTTTTTTTAAACAAAACACTTCAGCTGAACTTAAGGTGGGAGGGTCTGAACAGACAACCAAATATATATGGATATATATTTTTCCTCCTTCCTTGAGTTTCACAGTTGGTCATTTTCTTTTTCTTTTCTTTCGTTCTGTTCTTTTGTTGTTGTCTTTGTTGTTCTTGTTTTTTTTTTTTTTTGACCCCCCCACCTCTCCCCCATATCTCCGGTGAAGCACGCAGGCATTGGACACGCTATGGTAAACAAACTGCATTATCTGGTAGATATCACTCTAATTGTCTTACCGTTTGGTTTGCCGTGGGTTTTTTTAACTGTTCGATTCTCCCTCTTTTGTTTCCTTTCCCTGTTTGGTTTTGGTTGTTTTGCTCTTCCAATTGTTTTCTGCGTCCTGGACAATCTCTAGATTTTGCTTCTCTCTCTTTGAGTTTTCCTCTTTCCCTTTTCTTGCCTTTTTTGGTCCAAATGCAAATCCAAAAGACAAATGGAAATCAAGGAATTTGGCCTGTCCCTGCCCTAACCTCCTCCCCTAATTTCTGAATTCAGATTCCTGGCCAGAGAGACCTGGGGCAGACCCCATGTTCATCGGCTCTGGTTAGACCAGCCCCGATGCCAGGCTGCTTATTTCTTTTGCTTTCTTTTGTTCCTTTTCTCCCCTGCCCCACCCCTTGTTTCTTTTCTCTGATTTAGTTTCTTTCTTGGTCTCCTGAAAATCCATGGAAAACACCATCCCATGACATGCTATGCTCTGCTCACTGTCAGCTCCTGGACAGGCCCCTCGAGCTGGGGGAGGGGGCTGGGGGTGAGGCCTCACAGATCACTGGTGGGGAGGGGACCTTGGGCGATGCAGAGCTCCTTCACATCACTGTTCACGGCAATTTAGGGGCTGCCCCAGGCTGGTTGCCTGAGAAAGGACAGCATCTCCTGCCTCACTTCCCAGCCTCGAGGGGTCTTGGTTCTGGCTCCCCCACGTCTTGCATGGCATGAATGGTCTTTTCCCCCCACCAGGGACAGCGTCCAGTTTTCCCACCGCTCTGCCGCTCTGACTAACACTGTGTCTCACACTGTCTTTCTTCCCCTCCATCTCCTGTCCCCTCTCTGCCCTCCCACTGCCTGTCCCGCATGGCCTCTGACTGGGGTTGGTTCCCTTCCCCATTGAGGGGGTGAGAGGAGGAGGCCCAGCGGGGTGAAGTCGGGTACTTGTTGCTGAGCTCCTCTGTTTGGGTTGGGCTCAGGCCTGGTGAGCGTTGGTGTGGGTGTCTGTGTAAACGCAGCTGGTGTGTGTTGGTGTGTGGGTGCAACTGTGTGTAAATGTTGGTGTGACATTTAGGGGGTGTTGGTGGGAGACGGTACTGTGTGTTTGAGACTCTCCTGGTGATTCTACAAGTGTAAACGCTGATACGAGCTGGGGGCTGTGTGACTGTGTTTCTGAGCCTGTGAGGGCTCTTAGGAGGCAGGTTGTGGGGCCGGGATGGGTGGGAGCAGGGAAGGAGCTGAGGCTGGCCCTTTGCACCTCGCCTCGCCCGTGAGTGTGTGCCTGCAGGCCCGCTGTGTGCCCTCCCCTGGGATTCCCTCCTGCCCGCTTGGTCCTGGCTCTGCGGCAGCAGGCAGTTAGTCATCGTCTATTAATAATGCAGAGTGATTGAGCGCCAGGCTGGGGACCCTGCAGATGGACGTGTCTACTCCCACGGGGCCCACGCTGCTTGGGGCAGCTGCCTGGCCTGCCCAGCCTCCCAGGCCCATGGAGCTGCCTGGCTGGAGAGGAGGCAGCTTGGCTGCTGGGGCTTCCTGTCTGAGAGGTTCCACATCTTCCCCAGGAGGATGTAGCCCTGAGAACACGTCTGGCCTGTCCTGATACTCTGGCAGCACTGCACCTCCCTGCACCCACAGACTTGTGGTGGTCCTGTCCTTTGTCCGGTCCCCAAGCCAGTGCCAACCCATGGCCATCCCAGCCGTCCCCAATCTGAGGCCTCCTTTGGCCATTCTGTCGTCCTGTTGTTCAGACGGAGCTGTGTGATGGCCCCAGGACTGCTCTCCCACAGGCTGTTTTCTTCCGCTGCTGCTTCTAGAAGTTTGCCATTGCTTACCTCTCAGACCAGGCCACTGAGTACCTGTCAGGAACTGGGCGTTTGACATTCTTTATTATTAATTAATTTTTTGGCTGCACTATGTGCAGCATTCAAAATCTTACTTAGTTCCCTGACCAGGAATCAAACCTGTGCCCCTGTAGTGGAAGCGTGGAGTCTTAACCACTAGACCGCCAGGGAAGTCCCTGGAACTCTCTTTACAGAGCTTCACTGGACAGCCAACCTGTGACTTTGCGGACAGAAGGGAGGCAAGATAAAGGCAACCCCTAGGGTATACTATCTGAGAATTAGGGTCCAGGAGACTTCCCCTTCCTTCCAGTCTCAGTTCAGTTAAAAACTGTGAACTGGGGCTAAAGCTGTTTCTCATCTGCCAAACGGCTGACATTCCTCGCTTGCCTTTCAGGGAGTCAGTGTGAGGGTCAAGAAGGGTAGCGGAAGTGAAAGCGTCTGTACTCTGTAAAGGAAATAATAATTTTATTAAGCTTTATAAAATGTTAACTGATTATCTCCGTGTTTCCAGGGCAGGGATATTTTGTACAGAAGCGATTCCCTTCCCATAGCAAACCCTGGAGAATATAGCATCTCTGGCCCTACTGGAGATCCTATTACCATCCTTTCTTGGGATTCAGTCTAAAATAACTACATGAAACCCCAGAATTCCCCAGGAACTGGGCCTGAGGAGGAGGAGGGAAGATGGGATGACTTGGTTAAGTTGGTCAGAAGGCAAACAACCTTGCCAAATCCTGGCAGGGAAAGGCCCTGTGAAATTCTAAGTCTCGGAAGCCCACGCCTCCTAGTGTGAGCATCCCTGCTTGACAACCAGAGCTGGTGCCTCTTGGTGGCCGAAGTCACCTCATAAACCCTCAGACACCTGTCCCAGGGATCAGCTCTTTGAGCCAGCAGTGGAGTCAGAGAACCTGGCACCCAAAGAGACAGCGCTCAACCTGCTCTGATTTCCCAGGCATTCCTCAGCCGGGCTCTGGTTGGTTTTGCACTTATTTTTACTGACTCCTTTGTATGGACTCTTTGTTATTTGAGCATTTCTCCTTGGGGGAGAGAGTGGATCTAGGTCGAAAAGGCCAAGCAGTGGAGAGGTTTGGGTTAGGTGTGGTCAGGCTGAAGGGAGTGTTCTTTGCATCTGACACTGGAGACTTTGCTGCTTCTAAGTAGCTCTCACTTTTTGAATATCATTTAAAATTGACAAATGCCTAGATTGCATGCAGCAGGCAGAGATTATTCCCAGTTAACATGTGGAGGAAACTGAGGCCGGAGAGGGCCTGGGGCGATGTAACAGGCAGCAGAGTTCAGTGCTTTCACTTTGTTGATCTCATTTGAGCCTCACAGTAAGCCTGGGAGAAGCAGGAGTCATGGAGTTGTTAAACCCCTTTTACAGATGAGAGTCAGGGAGGTGAAATGAGGATTGTTCTGGAAGATGGTAAAGACCAAATAAGAACTCAGGATTTCTGACCTGAAGAGTATGTCCCAGCACCATTGAGCCCAGTCATCAGGATTCCCTGTGCGGCTGCACACCCCCCTTCGGCTGTCCTCCTCTCCTCATGCCCTGCTCCCACCCTCTTATGTCCTAAGGGCAGGCCAGGACTGTCTTCCTAAGCTAATTGGCCTCACTCATCTTTGGATCATGAGCCTTTTGAGAGTTTGGTGACAGCAGTGGGCTCTCACTGAAGGAAAAAAACCCATTGAGGTGGTTTGCATACAATGCCAAGGGATTTCATGACTCCCCAGAGCCCATCTAACCTGCTTACAAGTTTAAAAAAAATCTGCCCTCGATCTTATTCTCACCTTAATAATCCCCCTCCCAGGAAGGTCAGTGACCCTATAACCATAGCAGGGAGCTGGGGAAGGCTCTGGGTGATGTCAGAGGGCCATTCCCCTCTGTCCAGCCTTTCCTTTGGGGCTGTGATGGGCATGAGTGCCTGACGCAGAACATTTGTGGCCAGGACCTGGTTTCATGCTAGCAGCTTGCTTAAGGGGGGAGACCAGCAGAGCAGAGCAGAAGGGAGGTGGGGCCAGCAGGAAGGGTTGAGAGCCCATCAAGGTCATAGGCTGCCCCTTGCAGCCACCTCCGGCCACCCTCCCTGTCCCTGGGGAATGGAGCAGAGGCTGGGTGTAGGGCTCCCTCCCCTCTTCCTTGACTGGTCATGGCTCTTCCGGGGCAGAGCTGTGGCTCATTTGTCATGTTCTCTCAGCTCCACTCAGGGCCCGGTCTCTCTGTGTTGTGTGGATTAATGTGGGTGGCGTGCAGTCTCTGCTGTGTCTTGGGGTGCTGGCCGTGGTCCTGATGACAAAAGGATGCCGCTTGGAAATGAGGCTGTCGGGACTCTCTCCCACCGCCTTCAGTAAGATGTGGTGTGTGAGCAGGTGTGCCTGGGGTCAGTGGTCAGTGGTGAATGGGTGGTGGGAGTGAGTGTCTGGGCTGCCCTCTGGGGAGAAAGGTCTGAGCCTCACATCCCTTCCCTTTCTTTCTCAACCTGTACATGTCTCTGTCCTCGTAGTGGCTCCTCTCCCCTCCTCTGCTGGAAGGAAGCTTCTCCTTCTGCACCCCTGCAGCTCTTTTGCCTCCATCTGGGCTCTTCCCTATGACCCCTGGCCCAGCATGCTTTCCCCCCACCCCGGCTGCCTTTCTCTCGCCTGTCCTGCTGGGCCGGGACCCCCACCCAGGCCCCCTAACCCGCACGTGTCCAAGCTGTCATGGCTGTTGTGTGTCGCATGTCCCCCCTCTGCCCTCTTCCCCTGCCGGCCCACCCCTTCCAGAAGCTGTGCGGGGGGGTTGGGGGGCAGGGGCATCATGAACCCCTGGGGTGGAGGGGGACTGGGGGAATTATCCCCTTGTTTCCTGCTTTTACTAACGAACCTGCCATTTTTGTGTCTGGACTTTGATTTGTCTGAGGAAACAGTCGGGTTTTACTAATCTCACTCATCTACCTCCTTGCCTTCCCCAGAGACCTTCCTCCATCCCCTCCGATCCTCGGCTTCCTTTCTCCCTGGTGCCCGTCTCCCCCTTTCTCTCTCTTCTTCCCTCACCCCCCTTCCTCCATGCACCTCCTTATGTGACCCTGCCTCCTGCTGCCCTCTCCCCACCCCTTGGGCCAGGGAGGCTCTAAAACACCAGGACAGATACACAAGGGGTTAAGGCAGCCCTTTTCCCATAGGGGGCACCACGTGGCAGAGATTCGTATAAAGCAAGGCGGGCAAGGTCAGATTTGCACCCAGTCGGGAGGGGTTCAGGGAGGGCCCCCCAAGTCATGTCTTTCTAACTCTAGGGTGAAGGCAGGTGAGCTGGCTGAATGGAGGGGCAGAAGAGAGAACACAGGATGAGGAAGATGCCAGTAGCTCGTGCCTTGGCTTCTGGGGCCGGGGAGGGACAGCGAGTGGCTCAGGCTGCTGGAGCAAGGAAGAGCCTCTTCCTGAGGAGCTACTGGGGTTGGGAGGGCCCCCCTTTCCCCCAATCCTTGCGCAGGAGCAGGGCCGTCCCGTCCCAGCAGTCTCAGAGGACTGTGATTCTGTCCGTGTTCTCTCCCGAGGCACCGGGTTCACACATGGCACACAGGCAGTGAGCGCCGTGTGGCCCTGATCGTCAGGCCACTTGACGGTCACCTGAATGGTGGCCATGTGTCCCCTGGACTGTACTGGGATTAGTAGGGTCACAGGGACACGTTAGGCCAGGGGCCCGGCCTTCAGGAGCTGACTCTCAGTTGGGTTTCTAGACGTAGACTCAGGAACTACTAGTGGCCCGATTCCTGGTCTCCCATTGTGGCCCTGGGAGTGGAGGGTGGGCTAGAGGCCCCTTCCCCCCCCGCCACCTCTCCCTGTCTTACTCCCAGCCCTGCATCCCAGCCCCCTCCTGCCCTTTCTCCAGCCCCCTCCTGCCCGTTCTAATCTCGTCTGCATGTTTTTGTGACTAATACTTTGACCCTTCCCCTTTCCACCCAGAGCTCCACTTCCTAGCCCCGGGTGGGATGGAGGGAAGAAGCAATAAACAATAATGACCAGCCCTCACCTCAAAGCAAGACTCAAAATCTTCAAAGTGCCGACTTCCACAAAGACATGCCCTCACCTCTGTCCTTGAACCCGGTCCCCCCAGCACAAGGTTTGATGGTTCCTAGGAGGGAGCCCTTCAGTCCCAGCCCCCCACACACTGTGAGGCTCCAGCGTGGCATGAGGGGGACTCGAGGGTCCTGTGAGGGACAGTCCCCTTGGCCCTGTTCCGCTCACATCCCTCAGGTGTTCCTAACACTCACTCCCCATCCCCGCAACAGTGGAACCCTGGAGACCGGTCACTGGAAGATGGCTGATGGCATGTACGTATGGACTGGTGTGGGAAGGACATTGTGGGCTGTAATCGGAAGGCCCCAATCTCCAGACTTTGCCCAGACAGGGGTTGCTGAGGCACATTTCGGGAATGGGAAGCAGGAGGAGCTGTAGCCTGCAGAAGCATGGTGTTGGGTTCACTGTGAGCCGGCTTCCTGATCGCCCCCATAGGAACCTGACTGTCCTAATCCACCGCCTTCTGAGAGTGGGGGCTTGTGGTCCCCCCACCCTTCACTCTGCACCACAACCTGGCTGGGTGTGGGTGCTCCTCTGGCTAGACTTTTCAGGGCTTGGGTGGACATTTGCCCGGGGAGCAGGGACTCATGGAGTTCCCTGCACTTGTCACTGTCCCCCCCCCCGCCCCCCGCCCAGGTCACTTTTCACTTTTGCCTTCCCCAGGCCACTACTGAGCCCCTTTCACCTCCTTGGAACACCAGGTATGCCCGCATCCCTGCCTGTCTTGTTTTGTTTCCTGAGTTTTCAGCCCAGGGACAAGATAACAGGAGGTTAGCCTGTCTCCCTCTGTTCCTTAGCCTGGCCCTGACGCCATAGCGTAATTGTTAGGATGAATGAATCAGGCAGGGTGATGAATAGGCCAGCGGCTGCCCCCTTGTTGGGGGACAAGAGAGTGTCCCAAAACAGAGGGACCCGGATAGCAAGACAGACTCAGCAAGGGGGTCGGGACCAGTTAGGAGGTAGTGATGGGAATCAGCCCTCAAGGACGCTGTGTGTCTCCTAAGAAGTGCCAAGGCTCCCCAGCAGTATCTGGGTTCCTGGTCCTTATGCCCTTGCCATCGTCCACCTCCCCACGGGCTAAGACTGAAAGGACTCTGCCATGCCCTGGAGGGAGAGCTGCAGGGGTGTCAAAGCCACCAGGACCCCAGGAGAACTGGTACTCTCTGCCTCTTTTATGAGAGATGCTCTTAAATCACATGTGCGTCCAAAGACCCTTTAAGAGGAGAGAAGCATCAGTGCCATTTGTACCCTGGGGGCCCCCACTCCCATTCATCTGTCCATCTGGAGCCACTTCTGAGAGCCACTTCCTGCTGCCGCGCACAGTGAACACCTTGAGCACCCTTCGGGCCTCTGTCTGCTGACGGGGCCGTGGGGCCGGCCTCAGCCCACCCTGAGACCATCAAATCTTGTGCTGCCTCCTCCTTTGCCCCCTCCCCACCCCCACTGTTCCTCCTTCGAGACAAGCAGACATAAAAATGGAGAGTCCCTCCCCCCACTGCCCCCCGGCCCCTCCCTTGCCCTGCCCGTGGCTCTTCCCAGGGAGCTGATGCCGGTTGTCTCCTCGTCTCTCCCCCTCCCTCCCTGGGCTGGGCAGGTGACCATCTCGGTGGACGGGATCCTGACCACCACAGGCTACACGCAGGAGGACTACACCATGCTGGGCTCTGACGACTTCTTCTACATTGGGGGCAGCCCCAACACGGCCGACCTGCCGGGCTCGCCCGTCAGCAACAACTTCATGGGCTGCCTCAAGGACGTGAGTAGGGCCAGGAGAGGCGGGGGGCACCCCAGAAACCCCGGTCTGACCAGCCAGCTGCCCTGGGCCTCTGTACCTCTCACTCTGTGGTGGGAGACCGCCTCTCTTCAAAACCTGAGGCCCACTGACCCTGGCAAGGGGCTTCTCCTATCTCGCTTCCTTGAGCCCTGAAGGCCCCCGTCTTCTCAGAGGACCCTTAAGGCAGCTGTGTACAGAAGAGAGGGTGGTGGGCCTGAAAACTAAAGAGCAGTGTTTCAGGCCCACTCACCAGCTCTGTGACCTTGGCTGGGTCCCTTGTCCTGTCTGACTCTTAGTTTTCTCAGCTGTAAAACGGGTATTTGGTACCTACTTCTCGAGGCGGCTGTGAGGGTTAGATGAGAATGTCAGTGTCAGCCACGTGTTCCTGGCAGTTGTCCTGCAGTTATTGCGAGCGGCAGCTCAGCAGCGCCGAGGGCTGCGGTGCTCGTGCTGGGCAGGGAGACAGGACAGAGAAATAAGTGCCGCGAGGGAAGCGCTGCCCCCAGCCTCTGAACGTGCAGTTCTAGAATTGTGGTCTGGGCTGCTGAGCAGGGGCCCCCAGGCCAGGGTGGCAGGGCCCCAAGTTGTCAGGCAGGAGTGGTCAGGTCCTAAACTGCTTCCTGTTCTTCATCCTGGGACCCACCCACCCTGCCCCACGGCCCTCTGCAGGTGGTCTATAAGAACAACGACTTCAAGCTGGAACTGTCCCGCCTGGCGAAGGAAGGAGACCCCAAGATGAAGCTGCAGGGGGACCTGTCATTCCGCTGTGAGGATGTGGCTGCCCTGGACCCCGTGACCTTTGAGAGCCCCGAGGCCTTTGTGGCACTGCCCCGCTGGAGCGCCAAGCGCACAGGCTCCATCTCCCTAGACTTCCGCACCACGGAGCCCAACGGGCTGCTGCTCTTCAGCCAGGGCCGGCGGGCCGGGGCAGGGCCTGGCAGCCCCAGCACTGCCCAGCGGGCCGACTACTTTGCCATGGAGCTATTGGATGGCTACCTCTACCTTCTGCTGGACATGGGCTCAGGGGGCATCAAGCTGCGGGCGTCCAGCCGCAAGGTCAACGACGGCGAGTGGTGCCACGTGGACTTCCAGAGGGATGGGCGCAAAGGTCAGAGGCCTCTGCATCTTCCCCTTTCCCCTGGCCACCCCTCTCTGAGCTTCCCTGATAGCTTAGTTGGTAAAGAATCCATCTGCAATGCAGGAGACTCTGGTTCGATTCCTGGGTCAGGAAGATCCGCTGGAGAAGGAATAGGCTACCCACTCCAATATTATAGCCTGGAGATTTCCATGGACTTACACAGTCCATGGGGTCACAAAGAGTCGGACACGACTGAGCGACTTTCCCTTCACTTCACCTCACCCCTCTTCTCCCACAGTGACAGTCCAGTCTGCTGTTCGCCTTCCCTCCCCTTCCCCCGGCCCTCCCAACCCCTCCCTGTCCTTGTTGCCATGGTGCCTTGGAAAGAAGGAGGAAGAGCCTCTTCCTGGGGAACTCTGGGGCCAGGAGGGCCCTCCCCCCACACAGGAGCAGGGTCGTCCCATTTGAGCAGTCTCTGACGACTGAGGTTCTGCCCATCAAATGCTCCCAGGGCACTGGGTTTACACACAGGACACAGGAAGTGAGAGCTGTGTGGCCAGTGATGGTGGCGTGTCCCCTGGATAGTGCTGGGATTAGAAGGGTCATAGGGACACATCAGGCCAGGAGTCAGTCAGACCAGTCAGATCAGGTGTGGGTGGGTGCACACCTGACACTCCCACTTCCTGCTTGTGTGATGTTAGGCCAGCACTCAATGCCTTGCAGCTTCAGTTTCCTTTTCTATAAAAGGGATCATCAAGAGGGGAAATCAAGGAAAAATCTATAAAAGTATTCGCTCAGTGCCTAACACAGTGGTTATCCCATTCTCCTTAAACAAGAACAACAAAAACCTTCCCAACCTTGCCTCCCTCTATCTAGATCCTTTCGCCTTTCTTTATTAACTCACTCAAATATTTAGTGAGCACCTCCGGATGCCAGGTGCTGTCCAGGGTGCTGTAACGAGGCAGCGGTGAGCTAGAGCCTTGGCTGTCGTGGAGCACATCTTCCGGTGAGGAGGCCGCCCAGTAAACACCACACTCTGCCTGGTGAGGGGTCTTACACAAGAAAAGAGCAGGGTGGAGGGTACTGGAACCAGGCAGGCACTGTTCTTGAATCTTCTGCTGCTTCTAGCCACCCCTCCTCCACTCTTCCTTTTCAGCCTTCCTTTCCCATCCTCTTCTTGTTTTCTTTCTAATTCTCTTCTTTACTCTTCTCCATCTTGTTGGACAGGGGAGAAAGAACTGATACAAATGAGAACTGACACATTATCCAATTTAAGCCCTTATCAACGTCAGCTAAATTTTCATGCTCCTCCGGCTGTCACTGCACTGGGCCTTCATCTCGGGGTGGAGCGACCGTACCCACACACACAGGGAGGAAGGGGGCTGCCACAGCTCCTGGAGGCATCGGCCTCTCATGGGCCTGCTGCTGCTTCTCAGAGAAATGTCGCCTTCCCCAGGCTTTGCGGTAAATGGGTTCATCCCCTGGTTTCGTGTCATGAGGGTACTAGGGAAACTTCACAGAACACAAATCGCCTCCCAGGGTTTCCACGCAGGGATCTGTGACTCTTTAGGTTGGGAATCTGCTCAGGCCTTGTAGAGAACCCCAGGGCCCTTCGCTCTGCTCTGTCTTCAGGCAGTGGTTTCCTTAGGCTCACTCAATCACCAGACCCCATATACCAGGCCTGGCTGGCCTGTGAGTCACTTCAGCCATTTCTCATGGCCCAGCACAGACTTGGGGTCATCACTCCAACAAAGCTCTCTTTGACCTTTCCCATGTTTTAACATGTTCTTGTGGTAATTTATATACAACATAAAATTTACCATTTTAATCATGCTTAAGTGCACAGTTCAGTGGTGTTAAGGGCCTTCACTGTTGTGCAGCCAGCACCACCATCAATATAGAGAATGTTTTCATCTTTCCAAACAGAAAATCTGTCCCCATAAATACTAACTCCCTGTCCCCCAACCCCTGTAAACCACCATCCTACTTCCTATGAATTACCTACTCTAGGGACCACCTATACCTCGATCACACGATATTTGTCCTTTTATGTCTGGCTTATGTCATTTAGCATAGTGTCCTCTAGTTTCATCCACATTGTAGTACGTGTCAGCTATATGTGTCAGGCTTCATTTTTCATGACTGAATAATATGCTGTTGTATGAATAGACCACCTTTTGTCCATCCATCTGTCATTGAACACTTGGATTGTTGTTCCCTTTCCATGTTTTAGAATGACCTTGAAACAAGATCTGTATTCATTTTAGTTTCATTTTTAAAAATTTTTGTTGAAGTATAGTTGCTGTACAATGTTGTGGTAGTTTCTTCGGTATGGCAGTGTGAATCAGCTATATGTGTACATATATCCCCAAACCATATTTTCCAAAAGATATATGTTCCCTGATCTTCACTGCAGCACTGCTTATTAATACAATAAACAGGATATGGATGCCACCTAGACGTCCATCAACAGCGGAATGGATAAAGTAGATGTGGTACACTGCACCTCCTGCTGACGCTCCGTTATATACTCTTTCCCCACCATGGCCTTCCTTCTTTCACCTACTGTTCATTTGTGGAGAGTCCACTTGGGTGGTGCCCTTGTCCAGGAGACCCCATAGTGGGTGGGTGGAGCAAGCATTTGGGGATCTTGCTGCAGATAGAAGTGTAGGTGATCAGGGTCATGTTTGGGGGGCTGGGAGGGGGCGTGGGGATCTGATGCCTTGTCAGGGAGGACAAGCCAGGGACCCCAGTGTTAAAATGGGGCAGAAGGGGAGGGCCTCTGGTGCAGGGGAGGGTTTGCACCGAGGAGAACAAGCTCCAGATCAGGAGCCAGGTGTGTCGAGGAGGCCCTGCTCCTGTTCCTGCAGACCCATGCTTGGCACCCCCACCCCCAGTCTCTGCCTATTCAGGCCTTTCGTGGTCAAACTATCCTTACCTGTCTTTAACCTGATCGAGATAGGCAGCCTTTTTATTTTTTAATGAATTCTTCCAAACTGGAGAAAAGAGAGAGGAAGGAGAAGGTTAGAATAAAAATTACAAACAGAATAAAGCTTCTAATTTATAGGTTTTGGCTTCTTAAGGTCTCAGGAAAAGCTTTGAAGCTCCTACCTGACCCCAAATCTTTTTTTCTGAGATAACCAGCCCCTTCTTCCAAAGAACTGTTAGAGCCCAGAAGCTCTGTGCCTGGTTTTCCTTTCCTGGCTGCCCTCCTGTCTCAGAGGCTCCAGGGACTGATCGGCCTGCCCGTCTGCTCCACCAACCACACAGGGGCTCCAGGTCCAGGGCTGGGGGATGCAGGCTCTGGAGTCCTGCCACCTGGGTGGTACTTCGGCTCTGGTCCTTAACTGTGGTGGCACTTTGGGCAGCTTCCCTAGTCTCTCTAATCCTCATCTACCATTTCCAAGTGGGATTGTAAAGGATCAATTCCTTAGGGTTACCATGAGATTTAAGTGATATATGTGAAGTGCTACCATAGGGTCTCAAGAGTCGGATACGACTGAAGTGACTTAGCACGCATGCGTGCAAGAGCCTGGTATGCTATGCATGCTAAGTCGCTTCCGTTGTGTCTGACTCTTTGCGACCCCATGGACTATAGCCCAGATTCCTCTATCCATGGGGATTCTCCAGGAGAGAATACTGGAGTGGGTTGCCATGCCCTCCTCCAGGAGACCTTCCTACCCTGAGATCAAACCCATGACTCCTGCATTGGTAGGCAGGTTCTTTTTTTTTTTTTTTTTGGTAGGCAGGTTCTTTACCACTAGCACCACCTGGGAAGCCAAAGTGTCTGGTACACAGTCATAAAAGCCCAATAAATGTTAGCGGGGGAAACTCTTTGGATTCAAGTCTTTCAGCCTCCTTGGGGACCTCTGCCTCTGACTCCTGGTCTGAGGGGCTGGCTAGGGGAAGGACATGTCAATGATCCAGCCCTTTGGGGGCATGTCCACTTCTGGTACATTCTCTGAGGACTTGCTCAGGTGGGAAGAAGACGTCTGGACCGAGGCCCATCACACACTGCAGCTGGGCTCCAGCGGCTCACACGGGTTCCTGAACTTGGGGGCTTCGTTAAGCAATGTCTGCAGCCCAGGGCTCCCGGGGTGTGAGGGCAGGGCATCCTTTTTCCTCCCGGGACGTCTCTCGGTCCTGCCGTCTCCACTGAGGCTCACACTCTCCCTCCATCCGATCCGCAGGCTCCATCTCGGTGAACAGCCGCAGCACTCCGTTCTTGGCCACCGGAGAGAGTGAGATCCTGGACCTGGAGAGCGAGCTGTACCTGGGCGGTCTCCCTGAAGGCGGGCGGGTGGACTTGCCCCTGCCCCCGGAGGTGTGGACCGCAGCGCTGCGGGCTGGCTACGTGGGCTGCGTGCGGGACCTCTTCATAGACGGGCGGAGTCGAGATCTCCGGAGCCTGGCCGAGGCGCAGGGGGCTGTGGGCGTGGCCCCTTTCTGCTCCCGGGAGACGCTGAAGCAGTGTGCCTCTGCTCCCTGCCGCAACGGGGGCGCCTGCCGGGAGGGCTGGAACCGCTTCGTCTGTGACTGCATCGGGACCGGCTTCCTGGGGCGGGTCTGTGAGAGAGGTGAGGCTGGTCTGCACGCCTGTGCCCCTGCCCGTCCCCGTGCCCTATCGAGGACCATCCCTGGGCCTGCCAGCCCTGCATTGATTCTCTTGGTCTTCTCTCTCCCTTCTCTGGCCCCCGCCTGTTCCCCCCTTTTCCCTCCCCCGACTCCTGGGGCAGAGGCTACGGTCCTGAGCTACGACGGCTCCATGTACATGAAGATCATGCTGCCGAACGCCATGCACACGGAGGCGGAGGACGTGTCCCTGCGCTTCATGTCCCAGCGGGCTTACGGGCTCATGATGGCCACCACCTCCAGGGAGTCCGCGGACACCCTGCGCCTGGAGCTGGACGGGGGCCAGATGAAGCTCACTGTCAACCTCGGTAACCGCTCTGCCCGTGCCCCCCGCCCTTCCGCGACCCTGCCTCTCACCCACACCCCCTCTGTCTGGAGAAGCTTGGTGGTGGCACCAGTGAGAGAAGAGGGTGGGAGGTGCCAGCCCGGGTCTGAGCCCCGCCCCCTGCAAGAACTTCCTCCCAGAGGCGGCGCGTAGTGTAGGTAGATTCCTCGCGCTCTGCAGAACCGTGGGGAGGGGACCAGACTGTGTCTGGGGTGTGATAGTCACCCTCCCAGGGCACTCCTGGGGCTTGGAGGCGTCTGTTCGGCGCACACACGTAAGGAGGTCGCTCATGCCTGGTTGTCAGCTCATCGACTTGCTCATATCTTAGTTCATTCATTCGCGAAGCAGACGCCTACTGGTGTTCAGCCCGGCTCCCTGCCTAGGCAGATCCAGAGACAGAAGGACCCGGCCCCCCACACAGCCGCCCTCCTCTGCTCTGAATTTAAAGAGCCATGTCTGTGTGTCTGTGTGTGTGCGTGTGCAAGCGTGTGTGCATGTAGGTGCACAAGGGGACCCATCGGGGCATGTCATCTTCCCCGTGTCTGCTTTCACGTGAGTCCCCATGGCTACCCAGATTTTATAGACTGGGAATGCCATATACTGACCTATCCAGCATCACAAACCTAGTGATGGTCAGGGAGGACCCAGACTCAAACCCAGGACATCTGCTGAGGTTCAGTGCTTCCTCTGTTTCTAACAGAGCTGGTGGGTGGAGAAGTATCAAGACCCTTGTCACCTGACAGCTTGATGCCTCTGCCCTGCCCAGAGAAGGCGTGGCTCCACTTCACCTGACCGTCCCTGGGGCATCCATGTGGGCAGTACCACGAGGCCTATCGGATGCGCTGTGGCTTCAGCAGTGTCAGAAGGAAAACAGCAAGGCCACTCATTCAGCTGTCACTTATGGGCCACTTCTTAGTGCCAATGTATTCTGAACCTGGGTGACAGTAGTGACCCCAGGACCCCAAGGCGAGGTCCCAGCATCATGGAACTTTCAGTCAGGGCAACCTTGGCAGCTAGAGGTCCTAAGCTGCTCAGGCTGGGTCACATTTGTCCCTTTCAGACTAGCCTCTGGGCATATGGAGGTGGAGCACCAATGGGCCTGTCACGTGGGAAGACTGGGGCCTCTGGGGTGGGTTGTGTTCTGGATCTGGAGGAGAAGTTAGGCTCCTCTGAGCAGATTAGAATCCTCAGCTGGGGAGAACACAGAGCCCTGAGCTTAAAATATTCACCTGGAGTCTCATCCTAACATTAGTCTCCAGGGCATTTTGGGGACAGACTGCGGCCTTTTGGGGACCCATTCCCTCGCTAACAAATTTACACTGTGTCCTTTCCCCTTTGGGCCACCTGACCTTTGTGCTCCTAGGACAAAGAGTGAGGCGGGGGCCTTGGAGGTGGGGAACTTTAGGGTTCCCTGAAGCTCTGTTTCTAACCACGATCACAGCCTACAGAGTGGGTGGTGGGTGACAGGGGAAAGCAGGATGGGAGACACCCTTTGCCAGCATCCCACAGGCCTGTACAGAGTCCCCTGGCACCCCTGAGAGGGTCATAGGAGGAAGACACCAGCCCAGGACACCATAAGTGGCCCTGTGCTTCTCAGACTGCCCAGGTCGATGTACCCAGGGTCTGTGTACCCAGGGTCAGGTACCCTTTGCCCTGGAACATGTGTGTTCCCTGTGTGGTGAACACATGGCTCTATACTTGGGGACAGTGCAGGGGACATCTGGGGCTTCCACTTGCAGGGAAGGCAGATGCTTCTTCTTCCACTTGGACTGTCTTAGTTCCCTGCGAAGAAGCACGGGGCCCTTGAGATGAGACAGGAGGCAGCAGCCTTGGCCAGGACAGTGCCCTCGGGTGGGTCCTGGGGATGTTTCACCCTCAGCCCTCTCTCCTTCTTGTGGACAGAGGACTGTCTGTGCCACATACGTCCTTAGAAGTTAAGGGACAAGGTGGCTAGCAGGACAGTGCTCCCACCCACCTCTCACTCTCTGCTGTGCCCACCTCCATCCACAGAGATGCTGTCTCTAGCAGCTCATAACGAGCTGTGACCAAACGCTTGGTACAGTCACAGCTGTCCACAAATACCAAGTGATGGGCATACAAGGAGGTGTGTGGCTGTTGTGTGAACCACACAGACACACAGGTGGTCCACTCTCTGCCACCAAGCCTGCAGCTATGATGGGAAGAATACTGGGCTGGGGACCAGAAGATCTGGGTTCTAGTCCTGGTCTCCTTGACTGCTGGATAAGTCATATCCCCCTCTCTAAGCCTCTGTTTCTTTGTCTGTAAAATGGGGATAAGAGTTCTCACTCCTTTCTGTGGTTGTTTTGAGGCTTAAGTAGAAGTGTGGAAGTGACAACATTATATGATGCAAGGCACACACATAGAGACTGACTCAGCCGAGGGAAGGGAAATCATACTGGGATAGGGACCAGTATGATTAGAGCCAGACCCGGGACTCGCCTCCACATCCCTTGACCCTGTCTGGCCCCACCTCAGGAGCCCCATCCTGATCCCCAGCCTGCTTGCTACCCTGAGGGCCTGGCAGTCTTGGTCTGTGGCCTCGTGGTCTCATCTCATCTGCAGGGAAGCCAGGTTCCCACAGGCAGCTCGTCAGATGCTCACTGGGTTAATGCAGACTCGGTCCTGAAGACTGGAGCTGGTGACCACGTGGTGGGAGGAGGCTCTTAGAGCCAGTCTCAGGTGCCTGGGTGTTTGCTGGGCCGGAGAGGGCCGGGAGGCCTGAGGCTGCTGCCCCTGTCCAGGCAGAGAGCCTCAGAAGCCGATCGTGCCTTCTGCTCTGGCCTCCACCATGTCTGCCGACCCTGAGCCAGTTCCTGGAGCTCGGCTGTCTACGGGCCCTGAACAGGGTGGTTGGTCTCTGTTCCCAGAGTCCCTGATGCGTCACCCTGTTCCAGTGTGATCTGGGTTCCTGGGTTCCTTCTACCTTGGGCATGGCCTCTGTGGCTAGCACCCAGCACGGCCTGCCTCTTGTCACACCCCTGGGGTTGCCTTTCCCCGCTATGTGCCTGTCGGCACAGCCAGTGAGGCTGACACAAAGGGCAAATTGTAACTGAAGAATCTCCAAGCTGGAGGGGCCCTTAGAAGTCACCTCCTTCAGCCCGCCCCCGTGTGTGCATCCGCCATGCCTCCCCCCACTGACAGGAGGCTCTCCACCTCTGTTCAGATGACTTCTGTGTCAAGAGCACCCCACCTCTGAGACGGCCGTTCTCATCACTGGGTCATTCTTCCCTGCTAGCAACAAACTCTTCTGAAATCCCCACCTGTGAATTTAGTTCTGCCGTCTCCAGCTGTACAGAGCAAGTCTGACTCTCGCTGGTGTTGTAAGCCAGGCTTAATGCACATTACATTCCAAAGCCTGTTAATCTCTGAGACCATGGGGCGGTGCCTTGTTCCCACAGGGTGGTACCTTGTTTCCACGGGGCTCTTTTAAGAGGCTCTTGAGCTCCTTTGGCGGCTGAGCTGCTGGGCTGATGGCTCTGAACAAGGGCTATGCCCAGGACATGCTGCCACTCTGCAGTGTCACCTCCAAGATTCCAGCCAATGGGCTCCTGAGGCTCCTTGCAAGGAGCTCCAGCCCCCTCTCCCCCACTTCCCGATTCGCAGGGTGTGGATGGGGGAGCAGGTGGGATGCAGAAAGCAGAGCCTGGCTTCTTTTCTGGAGTTCCTTTCCATGCAGATGACTTTTTCCCACCTGTCTTATCACACATTCATACCATCACCCTGGTCTCCAGGCCCAGCCAGGGCCTTGGTGGGTGCACACCGATCACTTCTGTCCATTTGCAGAACTTGAGGCGCAGGTTTCTAGTTAGTTACCAGGGTAGCAGTTAAATCTCCCTGAGCTGTGCTCTGGGAGGCGCGGCCACCAGAGGGCGGTCTCTCCCACTTACCCGCAGTTGCTGGCTTTGGGATGGTGCTGGCTGCCTCCTGGATGCTCATCTTCAAGGGGAGTTTGCTCCCCTCCAATCCCACTGGAGGGGCGCTCCTGGGGGTGGGGTCACTTCAAGGGTGGTCATGGAGCTAACACCTCTTCTCTGGACAGACGGAACCCCCTTCCTGGAGCCCCCATGCTCAGGAGGGGCAGAACTATGCTCCTCCCTAGGCCTTTTCTCCAAAAGGGGATCGGCCTGCCCTCCCAGCTCCCTTTTTTCTTTTTTGGACCCTTCATTGGTGAAGACTCTGCTGGCCCTGAGAGAGCCCCCGTGACCTGAGTCCAGGCCTGGCACCCCGCCCTCACCCCGACATCCTCCCCTTCCCCCTTCTGTCCAGCTCCCCCTTTCTTCCTCTTTCCTCTCTTCCTCTCTTCTCTACCCTTTCCACCTCCTTCCTCTCCCTGTGACTTGCCCCAGATCTGCCCGTTGACCTCCTCTGCCCCTCCCTTGGTGCCAGGCTGTGGCTTCAGGTCCCGGCTGCTCCCCCCACTCTTCTGCTGCGGTTGACGACGCGTGTGGGGCTCAGCCGTACTGCCCGCGGAGCCCATGCCCCCAGAGCCAGGGGGGAATCTACCTCCACTGCAGGAACCTTCAGGGGCTTAGCGGGATGCCAGGTGACCCCACCCCACTTTGCCTTCTGGGCCTTGGGGTTATGGGCAGAGCCTGTTCCAGAAGGAGACAGAGGATGGCCGGATACACTGTTGTTAAGAGAGGCCTGGAAAGTGCCCTTCCCTGAGAGGGAGGGCTGGCCCATTGGACACTTGGTTCTTGTTTCCAGGTCAGGGTGGTTTTGTTCAAGCCCCTTAGCTCACAGGGAGGGGAGCTGGGGCTGGGACAGAAGAGAATTGCCCACAGTCACTTGATGAGATTAGGACCCAGCGTTTTGCCTCCCTCTGCCCCCTGCTGTCTGGGTCTGATGGAGCAGGACAGGCATCCGAAGACCCTGTCACAGGACTCTAGTGCTCTGTGTCCTCGTGAGGCTGGTGAACTCACGTCTTGCGGGTAATGCGCCCCACTAGAGGCGTGGCCAGAGGCCCCAGGGCTCTGGGCTGCAGGTCCATGTAGACAAATGTGCTTTCTGAGTACCCGGGGCCCTCTGAGCCTGGACTTGGAGGACAACAAGTTACCTCCCTTGGAGGGGCAGAAGGCTTTGCCGAGGGTGGCTGCTTGTCCCTGAAGACCTCAGAAGTCACACTGGGGGCCTCAGTGTCCTCATGTGTGAACCTCTGGCCCTTGCCTAGGAAAAGGGAATAATACTAATTCCTGTTCAGGGTGAAGAGAACCCTGGTCCCCAGGGACAGCCTGGTACCCTCCAGGTTAGGAAGGGTAGCAAGAAGGTTCCTGTAGGGGTGGTGCTAGCCCCCTGGGGCTTTGGGAGGTGTATGGCTGCGGGAAGGGGGCCCTGGGGCAGGCCCCTTCATTTAGCTTGGAGCCCAGGGGACACGGGGATGTGTGACAGCCTGGGCTCTGAGCGGGGGGTTGTCCCAGAGCAGGGGGAGCAGGGGCTCTGGCCCTCCCCGCCTGTCTCCCTCTCAGAGATGGGGAGATGTGGGGTTGGTCAAGCCCTCGGCCCCCAGTGACCCCCTGTACGACTGGGATTCCCAAGGTGCCCATCTCCCTCAGACGGGAGAGGCCCGGGCTTCTCCAAGAAGGGAGATGGCAGACTTCTTCCCATCACCCGGTTGCCCTGCCTCCCAGTTTGGGGGAAGGAGGGGGAGGGGGCCGACTGAGGAAGGGGAGAAGGCACCTGAGCACGCGTGGTCCCCGGAAAGTGGCCCTGGGGGGAACCCCTGCCTGCAGACACCCCTCCCTGTGAAGGATGTAAAAAAAAAAAAAAACACAAAAAACTTGTTCTGCCTTTTTGTCTCCCCTCCCCCTCTGCCCGCCCCATGGCCCCCCCAGACTGCCTGCGCGTCGGCTGCGCACCCAGTAAGTGGCTTCCCTCTTCTTCTGCAGAGCCCCGGGGGCCTGGGATTCTGGACACTGGGGTTGGGGAGGGGTGCCGGGCAGGGGAGGAGACGGCGTCGTCGCCGGCTTGTGCGGGGCTTGGGCGTGGGTGTGGAGGGGTGGGGCCGGTGTGCTTGTGGAGGGCAGAACGAGCCAAACGAAGATGAAGCAGGGGGAGTCGGCGGGGGTCTGGGGTCAGCATGTTCACTGAGACTAGGACTAGGAAGGGCCAGAAACTTCAGTTCTCCTCCAACCCTCTGGAGGGTACAGCAAAGGCTTGGGGTGGCACCTACCGCAGGAGAGCAGGAAGGAGCCGAAGCGGGGCTGGGCTATCCCGCTGTACCTCCGAAGGTGGCCACAAGGGGGAGGTCGAGGCACGCGGGAGAGAAGATGAGGGCTGGAGGTGAGTGGGCGGTGAGCCCGGAGGTTCAGCCCTCCACAGCCCCTGTTTGGGGTGCGGGGGGCGGGGGTGAGATTCTGCCAAACGGGGGCGCTCTCGGAGGTGACAGTGAGGCTCTCGGCAGGGGTGAGATGGAGAGCGGGTGTGGACATTTCTGAGCTCCCAGTATGCCTGGATTCAACCCTTGCCCTGAGGTCAAGTAAGAGAGCCCAGGGACGCGGCAGCCACAGGCAGAAAGAGTGTACTTAGCTCGGCTCTTGTGTGTATTTGGACAGGTGTGCGCATGCGTGGTAAGCCCTGCCCTGCCGGTGAGAGCACTGGGGTGGGGGGTGGGGCGCCCAGGAGGAACCTTGGGATGGGGGGTGTGCCGCAAATGGCCTGCAGCACCGTTCTAAAGCTAAACGTTTTTAGTTTTGGAAGAGGTTCATCCAGGTCTGGAATAAATGGCCGTAATTCCTAAAAAAGACATTCCGCTCTCTGGCCACGCTGGCCGTGCTGTGTATGTGATTGTGTGTCCGGGTGTGTGGAATTAACCAGGAGTGTGCAGAAAAGTCACACTGGGTCCCTCTAGATCAGGGATCCCCAACCTCTGTGCCACGGACCGGTGCCTCCTGTCAGATCCATGGTGGCATTAGATTAGAAATAAAGTGCCCAATTAATGTAATTCACTTGAATCATCCCCAAATCATCCTCCACTCGTCCTGGTCTGGGGAGAAATTGTCTTCCACGAAGCCGGTCCCTGGTGCCCAAATATTGAGGACCGCTGCTCTAGATGGGAGAGCTATGTGTGTTTGTGTGTGGAGTGCTCATGGACAGCCGTGAGGCTGTGGGTGCACATGCACATTTGGGTGCGTGGTAAGGCTCTTGAAAGTTTGAGGCCTATGTCTATAGGCTGGGAATTCAGCTGCTGGCTACACATTGACACTAAAGGTCCTGAGGAGAGGTGGGCTGTGTATGCTGGTTGTAGGTGTGAATCTCCAGGTGCAGGGCCTTAGGGCACAACTGCGAAGGCACCACACCATTCATTCACACCGCGTTCTTTTCCAGTGCCACCCTGGGAAGTTGCACCAAGTGTGGCGATATGTTTATGACTGTGTGTCTGCATTTATGACTGGGTGTATGAAGGCTCTGTGTGTGTGTAGGGGGTGGTGTACCTGTGTGCATGGGTCTGTGCAGGGGTGAGGCTGTGTGCCGGGGGTGGTACTTGAAGCAGCCACATGAGGGCAGGAGGAGGTGCTGGGTTGACTCCCCCCTCGGTGCCGCAGGTAAAGGCCCCGAGACGCTCTTTGCGGGGCACAAGCTCAATGACAATGAGTGGCACACAGTGAGGGTGGTGCGACGGGGCAAGAGCCTGCAGCTGTCGGTGGACAACGTGACCGTGGAGGGTAGGTAGTCTGCAGCCCTGTTCTTGGTGACCCCTGCCTGGGTGCCATTTCTCCCTTATGGGTGGCATGTCATGGGCTCCTGGACCCCAGGGGCTGTTTCGACTCCCCGAAGGCAGTATTGCCCTGCAAGCCTGTTGGCCCAAAGAGTCCCACAACTCCCCTAGACCCAGGTGTGGTGTGTGCTGCCAGTGCCTACCTGTGGGGGGTTTGCTGATGTCCTTCCCATGTGGCCCTTGAGTGGAGGGGAGGCTCCTGGGGACCCAAGACCCAGCCCCAGGAATGATCCTACAGTCTGGGCCCCAAGCCGTGTCCCCGTCTCTGTCTCCTGTGCTGAGTAGGACAGATGGCAGGGGCCCACACGCGGCTGGAGTTCCACAACATTGAGACGGGCATCATGACGGAGCGGCGCTTCATCTCTGTGGTGCCCTCCAACTTCATCGGGCACCTGAGCGGGCTGGTGTTCAACGGCCAGCCCTACATGGACCAGTGCAAGGACGGGGACATCACCTACTGTGAGCTCAATGCTCGTTTTGGCCTGCGTGCCATCGTGGCCGATCCCGTCACCTTCAAGAGTCGCAGCAGCTACCTGGCGCTTGCCACGCTCCAAGCTTATGCCTCCATGCACCTCTTCTTCCAATTCAAGACCACGGCCCCCGACGGGCTCCTCCTGTTCAACTCAGGAAATGGCAACGACTTCATCGTCATCGAGCTGGTCAAGGGGTGAGGTGCTGGGCTCTGCACCGCTGTCAAGGACGTGGTCCCCCCTGTCCCCGCCATGACCAAGAGGCAGCTCCCTCAGCCACTGGCTGAGATGTCCAGTCCCCACAGACCGCAGGTCAGGATTCAGGTCCCCCTGCCACCAGCCAAGATGGAGAAGCAGCACCCTCTCTTCCACCCTGGTCATCCCCCAATTACTTCCTTGCCAGGGGTTTCTCAGTCATATCTGTGCTCCATTCACTGTCCTGGCTCAGGCCATCTGGCCCTACTACAGGCAGAAGGCAGGGCTGGGTCCCTGTGACCTCTCTGGCCTAAGAGGCCCCCACCCCAGAGCAGCTTTGTCCCTGCCCAGAGGACCCTACTGCCTCCACAAAGGTATCCCTCCACCCACTTCTCTTCGGAGCCTGTCCCAGGAGCCAAGTCCTCTGCGGCCTCTCTCCCCACATCCCCCACGATGGGACCTCACACCTGAGCGCTCCTGTTGTTGGTTTGGGTTCCTCCACTCTGAGGTCTCCCCTCCGCCCCTTCCTCCTACAGCTTCCAGCCCCACCCCCAGCCTGCAGCTGTAGCTCCTCCTTACCCCGCCTTCCCAGCCCCCACCTTGACCCAGTGTCTCCTCCCTACTGTGGGGCAGGTACATCCACTACGTGTTTGACCTGGGGAATGGCCCGTCCTTGATGAAGGGGAACTCAGACAAACCAGTCAATGACAACCAGTGGCACAACGTGGTGGTGTCCAGGGACCCGGGCAACGTGCACACGCTCAAGATTGACTCCCGCACTGTCACGCAGCACTCCAATGGCGCCCGAAACCTCGATCTCAAAGGTGGGGCCTGGGGCCTCTGCAGGAGGCCTGGCCCTAGCCCAGATACCCCTTGACCCCGGCAAGATCACCCCCCGCCTGGGATGCTCTTTCTTTTTCGTGATTCTGTCCCGCCCCTGCCCACGGTTTCCCTCGCTCTTTGCCATTTTCCAGTGTTTCCAGCCTGACATCTTCCTATCAAAGTTCTGCTCAGCTCCCCTGCGAGGCTGCCTCTCAACACTGAAAGCCTGCCTGCAGGATGTGTCTCATGGGGAGCTTGGTGGCCTCACTCTAGAGCTAGGAGTAGGCAGCTGGGCCTTCTGAAGACCTCTTGGCCCTCCAGGGTTGAGAAGTCGGCTGTGCTGGGGGCTAGAGAGAGAACAGAGTCCCTGCTGGGCTGGGAGGGGGAGCTGTGATGAGGGGAGAGGAAGGAGGAACAGTCTCCGGGTCCCCACGTGCTGCCCTGGTCGTATTCCTTGGGCACTGGTTTGGACCCAGGCCTCCCTGATGTGGGTTCACCATCATACGGGGGTCCTCCATTCCCCGGGGCTTCTTCAGTAGTTAGCAGGCCACCACTGCCTGCCCCTAGAATAGTGGTGGGTCAGAGAGGAGAGAAGAGGGGGATGAGTTTAGAGACCCAGGGAATTGGAACAACAGGAGTGAGGACGAAGCCTGTGGCTTCTCCAGAGCCCCCTGGGCAATGTGAGCCTCCCTCACGCACCCAGAGCAGCCCCCCAGTCCCGTAGGGACCCCGGGTGTCACTCTGTCCGAGCGTGGGGAGGGTTCCTCGAGGCTGGAATCTACCCTCCTCTTGAGGAGGCAGCGGTGGAAGCTCCAAGAAGCTATGTGGTTTGCCTGTGGTCACAGAGTGAGTGGGCCCCGGAGTTGGAGCCAGAAGCTTGGTCAGATCCTGCGCCAGTGCTCAGACACTCACTTGTGTACAGCTCGTGGCGACCCTTTGGGATTGTAGCACTCCAGGCTCCTCTGTCCATGGGGTTTTTCAGACAAGAATACTGGAGTGGGTTGCCATTTCCTCCTTCAGGAGAGCTTCCCCATCCAGGGATCGAACCTGCATCCTGTGGGTCTCCTGTGTGGCAGGCAGGTTCTTTACCACTGAGCCATGGAGGAAGCCCCTAGAAGGGATGGCATAGTGCTGACAATTCTCCCTGCTGCCAGAAGGGGGCGATGTGTCTCAAGTAATTCACAGTGGCAGCAAACCCAGGGGTGGTCTGGGCCGGGCTTGGTTTGCACTGAGTTCCCGGCAGGGGCAGCAGGGTTGACCCATCATGTCTTGCTGGAGCTCTGCCGTGGGCCACCCAGGACTTCCAGGGAGTTGAGGTCCCTGCGGCCAGGCAGTGATGTGGAGGACCAGTGTCCCTGAGGAGGACTTCTTGCCCGTGTCACCCAGAATCCCCAGTCTAAGCCCTAGCTGTTGGAAGGTGCCAGGCTTAGAACCCCCAGCAGACAACCCAGAGTTGGGAGAGCCTGGCAGAGGCCTGAAGGAGTTCTGGGGATGGGAGACTTCGGAAGGGAGGGAGCGAGGGTGGAAGGGACCAGGCTGCACTGCTATGAAAGGCCCTGATTACCGGCCGGAACTGGCATCAGATGTGTGGGAGAGAGCACGGAGCAGGTTCCTCCAGCTGCTTCCCTCTCCCCTCCCCGGGCATCTGGGCTTCTCTGGGAGGGGAGCAGACAGATGGCAAAGCGGAGAAGGAAGAAGGAAGGGTGGGGGTGGGCATCTGCCCCTCAGAGAGGAAGCTGGAGTCTGGATGAGACCGTGTGGGGCTACGGGACCCGACACTGGGAGGGACCTGGGGATCCAGGGACCAGGATCTGAGCTCTGACCCCACTCCCTTTGCAGGGGAGCTGTACATTGGCGGTCTGAGCAAGAGCATGTTCAACAACCTGCCCAAGCTCGTGGCCTCTCGGGATGGCTTCCAGGGCTGCCTGGCCTCGGTGGACCTCAACGGGCGCCTCCCTGACCTCATCGCTGACGCCCTGCACCGCATCGGGCAGGTGGAGAGGGGCTGTGACGGTGAGTGTGGGCGCGGGAGTTAGGTGTGACCCTGCGGGGTGCAGGGGGACAGCTATAGAGGCAGACCGGGGGTCCGGGGGGGCCTTCCTCTCAGGCCTCGATGGAGCCTGCTGCCGCTGCACTGGGACAGTGTATGGGGAGAGTCAGAGGTCACTTGCCCTCCCTGCTGCCTCCTGCCCCGACCCCTTATCACAGTTCCAGGCCAAGACCAGCTGTCATTGAGCTCCCCGACTCCCACCCCCATGAGTTCTTGGCCCTTCCTGCCTGGCAGAACTGAGGGAGGGCTTCTGGTCTGGTCCCGAAGCTTCCGTAACTCCTGGGGCGGGAGGGGGCTTGGCTGAGCGGGGGTGTTCCCTCCTCCTGCCTCTTCCAGGCCCCAGCACCACCTGCACCGAAGAGTCTTGTGCCAACCAGGGCGTCTGCTTGCAGCAGTGGGACGGCTTCACCTGCGACTGCACCATGACGTCCTATGGAGGCCCCGTCTGCAATGACCGTGAGTGCAAGACTGGGAGGGCTGGGGTGCTGGGGGGAGGCCCTGGGAGGAGGGGGGTCTCTCAGAGCCATGCTGCTTGCTTCCTTCTCATCCCTTCTTGTCATGAGTGAGACGGAGGGGAGCTACTGGCTGCTGTCACCTCCTGGAGTCCCCTCTCAGGCCTTTGCAGGACTCCTGATGTCTGTGTCAGGGGTGATGGTTGCTAGACAGCCTGTCCTCTTCTGAGCTGGTGGGACACTGCTCCCCTAACCCCTTGCCAAAGACGTGTCAGCCTCTGTCACTGTCCCGACGTTGGCCGTGGTCTCACGTGTCGTAGGCTCTGTCGCACAGGGCCGGTGGGGGGGTTGCTGACCTGTACCCCCTTGCCCCTGGTGTCCTTGAAGTGTGCAGTGGAAACCCATTATTTCCTGCCCAGAATAGGCCTATGCCCCCAGAAGACAGGCTCAGGAGACACCCAGGAGGCCAGGCCTCCGGACAGCTGGCTTCCCTGGAGGCCAGCCATGGTGTCGTGCCCAGTTTCCCACCCAGCTGCAGGGTGTCCCTTGGATCCACAAGGACACTCCCTCGTGTCCTCGCCTGGTTCTTGTTCTCCCTGGCTGGGCATTTGCTGCCAACTTGCATATTGTTTGAGGCCCCTTCCCAGAGAGGGCGGCTTCAGCAGCGGTTTCCAGTCCCTCGTGGTTGGTGGCCGGCAGCTGGTTAGAGCTTGGCTGAGGGAGGGCAGTGGGGCAGGAATGAGGGAGAGACAACCTCCTGCTTGAGGGGGGAGGGCTGGGCAGCGTGTGGCCTCTTTAGGTGTCACCTGAATGGTCTTCCTTGGGGGTAGCTGGGCTGAGAGACCAGGGACGTGACGCGCCAGCTGCCTGAAAAAAAGACACATGTGCACACACGCTATAAATGGCTTCTTCACTTTGCAAACATGGACACTGAGGTCTGGAGGAGTCGGTGGATTTCCAGAGTGAATAGCAGATCTGGGCTGAGAACAGGGGTCCGTGCCTTTGCCTCCATGTCACACTATGGAACCTTAGTCATCGGGCAGAGTTCTGAGTTTCTTCAGGGAAACCAGGGAAATCCCCGGTTTCTGGGATTGGGCTCTTGGGCGGGTCTTGATTTTTCCTTCTTTGTAAGAATGCCCCCTCCGTCTCCATGAGTGCTTTCCTGGTGTTCTGAGGCAGGCCCATCCCTGGGTACCTCCACATCCTGTCCGGTCCTGCAGGATTCTTCCTGTCCAGCCTGCCACTCGCTGTACCTGCCAAAGCCCGCAGACACCGGCCAGCTCAGGGGCGCTCCAGTCCTGGCTGTCGGGGAACAAGGACGGGGCTGGGGAACAAGGACGGGGCTGGGGCCAGGCCTCTTCTTCTCCAGCTTATTCCTGCTTTGTGCAGGCGTTCTGGGGATCGTGGTAACTTTGCTGTTTAATAGTAACTATCCCTACTGACTGTTTCGTGTTTCACGGCTAACAAAGTCCTTTTAATTTGTCCTCAGAGAAGACAGTAAGATGGAGACCAGCCATCTGATTTAGCTGCTGAGGACACTGAGGCCTCAGTGACAGGCACATCCTTGCCCTTAATCACAGGGCGCTGGGGGCGGGGTGCGGCTGGAACCTAGGTGTTCTTAAGGTTTAGTCCCGGGGTGGTGGTGGTGGAGGTGGAGGCGGTGCCCACGGATGGTAGGCATTTCTTGCCATGGCCGAGGGGGTCAGGATGGAGAAGAGTGCTGCCCCTCATCACTACTGCACTCCCACATGATGGAGCCTTTTGGGAGGGAGCGGAGAGATGGATGTGGGTTTGGGAGTCAAACCATCTTTCAGCAGGGGTGGGAAGAGAGATTGGAACAACTTCCCTGGGTTGCAGGCAGGTGGGAGGCAGGGAAAGTTGGGGCTGGGGAACAGGGGCCTCTTGGGAAGTGTGACTGTCCCCGAGTGCTGGTCTGTGTGTCTGGTGGCAGAGCCCGAGCAGAGCCTTGGAAGTAAAGACAAGGTGGGTGCAATCTGGGAACCTCTGAGCACTGGCCCTGGGGGTACCTCTGAGATCTCAACCCCTTTTCTCTTGAAGTTATGCCTCCTCCTGATACTCCAGGCTTGGCTGTTTGATGCTCGTGCTGTCTCTATGACGGGGCTCCACTGATGCACAAGGTCAAGTAGGAACCTGGCCCAGATGCCTGTCTGCTCCACCCCAAGTGTGATGGCCCTGGCGGCACCCTGGGCATCAAGGGCCCTTGTGCCTGAAGAGACGGAGGGGGTTGAGATGGCCCAGGCATCCTCAGAGGGTTGGGCCTGTGGTGTGGAGCTGTCTGGTGGTGAAGAGACTGGGAGGAGGAGGAGTCCGACCTTCAGGACAGCCTTTCCCTACATGTGGCCTCAGTTTCTCCATCTGGGACATGGGAATTCCACCTGGGGGTGAAGGCACCATTGTGAGGCTCAAGAGTCTGCTCTGGGAAGGCAGGAGATCAGAGGGAGAGAAGTCATTGTCTGGGTGAAAGAGAGGAAAGCGGAGAGAAAATAAGAAAGAATATGAAATGAGAGAGGAAGGAAGCTGGATGGGGGCCTGCTTGCTGGCAGGGCCTGAAGCCCCAGGGCTGAGGTCTGGACAGCGCTTCCCTGGGCAGCTCCAGCTCCGCCTCCCGGAGCCTGTCCCCGGGCTCTCCCAGGCAGCGGGTTCCTCCCCATCTCTGCCCGTTCCTCATCTCCCTAGTCTCTCTGCTGGTCTCCGCAGCCTCTGTTGACCTCCTGCACGCCTCTGCCTCTCCCTTCTTTTCCACCCTCTCTCCCCACCTCGGTAGCCAGTGTCACCCCCTCCGGCTCTCTCCGCTTCCCACTCACTAGTATTGATTGGCCTCTAGGCGGGTTCCCTTCCTCTCCTCTCGCCGCCGGCTCCTCCCTCCCTCCCTCCGGGACCATACATTTTCTGCCTGCTCAGAGCTCTTGTCAGTCTCTACCCCAGAGCCAGGGCCAAGAGTGGGCACAGGAAGAGCGGGCAGGAAGCGGTGCTCCCCAGCTTGCAAACTCTCCTCCCTCATGGGGCCACACGCCACTGGGACACTTCTTTCTGGGTGCCTCTGAGGACCCCTTTCTTCCCTCTGAAAGGCTGGGGACCAAATGGGGCACTGGCATCTAACAAGTTGGGGAAGGTGGCCGCTGGGGAGGAGGAGCTGTCCCAGGTCCTGACTGCATCCAGGAGCTGGGCGCAGCTCTTTCGGGGCTCCTGGTGACAGGTTTTGCTCCAAAAGGGAATGCTGAATAATAAGCAGAAGCCAGCCCCTCCCCTGCCCACCTCCTCTTTCGCAGCCCCTTCCTTTTGCCCTTTCGTCGCCACCTCTCCTTGTCTGCCTCCTTCCAGGTCCATCACTCCCTCTCTCCCTCTCTTCCTCCTCCTTACCTACTCTCTGCCTCCCCGCGCCCCCCCCACCCCCCGCCCCCGCCCCGCCCCAGTAAAGCCTCCTCCAAGCAGAACTCAGGTTGATGTCAGTGCAGGGGTGGCATCCAGACGAAGGGATGAAAGCCTCCTTGCTCTTACTTCCCAGAAATGCCCCAAAGTCTGAGGGGCAGGTCGCAGTGGAGGGGCACCCTAGAAGGAGAAATGGCTTCCTCAGCAGGACATAAGTGGCTCAGAAAGGGTTTTGTCCCAAGTGGAACACTCAGTGGATAGGTATCCTGGAACTGCCCCTACCCCACCCAAGAGGGCGAGGTTGGCGTTAGGGGAGGGGCAGAGGAAGTGGACAGGAAGGATTGGAGGTGTCCAGGAGGGTTACCGCGGGGAGGGAAGCACCCTTCTGAGGAGGTGTCGAGGGACTGTGTGTGCGGTATGTCTTAACTCTTGAGCACCTTTGAGGCTCCGGGTACATTGTTTGTATGCATATGGGTGACCCTGTTCTTGGAGGGTGACCTGGAGGGGGGTGTCCGTGTGTACGCTGGCTGTTCATTCATTCCCTGTGACCAAACACGTATGTGTGTGAGCATGTGTACACACTTGGTTGAGTGTGAGTTCGCGTGCCAGGTGTCTGTGAGCACATGTATGCAATGTCTGTGTCTGAGCCTGTGTGCGTGCGCGCGCACTGGTGCCTGTATGGGCACGTGGGTGTCTCCATACCCGAGCCCGTCCACATCCTAGCGTGCACGTGTGTTCCGAGGGGTGCGTGCAGAGGTGGCGGTAGCCACATCTCTGCGCACTGGGCCAGCGAGCACTATTGGGGTTCGTCCTGGCCGGGGGTGGGGGGTGGTGGGAGGAGGTGGAAGAGAGCGGCCTCTCCGGCTAGCCTCAGTTCTGTTCAATTATTCAGCAGGGCCCCTTCTCCGGAGGGGGGCGGGAGGGGTGCGCGCACCCGGGCGTGGGGGAGGGGTGGGGCGCGCGCAGAGGAGAGGCGAGCGCTGAGCCGGCTAGCCAGGTGCCGCGCGGCGGAGCTGCCCAGCGCCGCCCGCAGATCGGGAGCCGCTCGGGTCCCTCCGCCCTGCCCCCTCCTCCACCCGCGCTCCCCTCCCCTCCTCTCCCCACCCCTCCTTTCCTCCCTCCTCTCTCCCTCCCTCTCCCTTCCAGCCCTCTTCAGCCTCTGCAGCAACACTCCGCTGCCTCCATCTCTCCGCCGGAATCTCGCAGGCTCGCGCCTTCCCTCGGCTCAGCCCCGCTCCCCTCCTCTCCTCTCCTCTCCTCTCCCCTCCTCTCCCTTCATTCCCCCCCTCACCCGGATTTGCTTCCCTTCCCCCCTCTCCCGCCCCCCACCCCCCGGCCGCTCCCTCCTTTCCCCCCAGCCTTCGTCGGGCGGCAGCGGCAGCCGCGGCGCGGCGGGCCCTAGTCTCCATCGGTCTCCTGCCTCTCTCTTCCAGTCCCCCCTCCCCGGCTCGGTTTTTCCGCAGGATTTCCCCGCTCTCTCCTCCCTGCTTGGCCCCCGCGCCTCCCCTCTCTCTCCACCCGGTACCATGCCCCCTCCCCCGGGCGCTCCCCCGGGTTTCTGACGGCCCTCTGCGCCGCTCCGACCCCGCCGGGATGCGGGGGGACCCTTAGCTC